CATCCATATCTTTGGACAAATCAAGTTTGAACCGGAAAAATTTCTCAAGCAAAAACAACTTATTTGGAAAAGAAGTTTCAGTATATAATTCCTCTAATTTTTCTCAAAGTTCTTTAGCAGAGTCCAATTTACCAACTTTTCTTAACACAGAGTCAGATAAGTTCAGAATAATCGAAGAATAAGCAAACTCATCAATTTCGGCCCTTTTCTCGGCCGACACATTCACAGAATGAGAAAGGTCAATAGCTTTAAACACCTTTTGCTGAACAAGAATACCTTTCATTTTCTGTTGCCAAATACCAAAATCAGATTTTCCATCGAACGGGACTAAGCTAAAAGCTGACACAGATCCCATTTTTCAAAAAAACACACAAGTTTTTGCACAGAAAATCACAACGAAGCAAATTTAGAAAAGAAAATATACCAACGACTAAAGTACCACAAAGATACAAATCACACAAAAGTGAACACAAAGCAAATACGCACAGCGGAATATTACTACGAAAGCAATAAATCAAATAAGCATGTCGGGCCCGGGCTGGCCCCAGACAGTCCCGAACAGCCTCTGGTTCGTCCCGGCAGCACCCGGTAGGTCCCGGCAGCACCCGGTAGGTTCCGACAACTACCAGCAGGTCCCGTACAGCACTCAACAGGCCCGGACAGCAACCTTTCACTCCCGAACAGTGCCCCTTTTCGTCCCGAACTCGACCCGAACTCGTACCGGTTGGTCCGATTCAAGGTGAAACCGGAAATGCACAATAGATAATCAAATTTCAGCAATTCAAATAGCGTAAACAAATTGAAAATGCTGAAAAATAAAGGATGCATAAAAGAAACGAATACACCCTTTTCGTGTTCTCTTCGTACGAGCCCGAATGCTACTAATGCCTCGATGGTGGAATGAAATCAAGCAGGCTCAGTCCCCTTCCGTCAAGCCCACAAAATGAGTCACCGATTATCCGACGAAGAACCGATCAACGGACCCTTGGCCTCAATAATTCCGGCACTGTAAACCCAGGGTAACACCACCAACCGTTGTACCAAGCTCAGCCCAAGAAACAACCCAAACAAGAAACCCCCCAAAATCCCCTCACAACATCACTCTGCTCACACACACTCGGCTCACACAAAGAACCCTAGGACACTCACAATCTCATAATCACAAAAGATTCAACAAGATAAGAGAGGATTTTATCACAAGACACCAAGTCGATCAATGAAAAAATAGCAAGAGCAAAAGTAGGGCAACAAAGAGAGAAATCAGATTTTGAATTGCTTGCTGCGTAAGAGTTCTGTTCTCTTAAGGCTGACTTAATTTTCTAATGGTTGCAAGTGATATATAAGCACTAATGCCTTTTAAAGTGGCTTATTTTTCTCCATTAGTTGTACTCAATTTAACAACTAATTAATTTGAAAAGTGGCTTATTTTTCTCCATTAGTTGTACTCAATTTAACAACTAATTAATTTGAATCTCCTAACTATTCTGAAGGCTCTAACAAGATTGCTGTGGATAAACTCTTAGGTTAGGAGAACACTAAATTGATCAAGTGGGCTGCCAAACAACTGGGCTCAGGCCAAAGAATATTGGGCCAGATAATTGATAAATATTTGGGCCATCAATAAACATATCCTTTGGGCCACAAATATCAACAATCTCCACCTTGGCCCAAAGTCGGTTCACAAGACTCGAGTTGACATGGGTCATCATCGCTTTTACCTTACCGTACCTGCACTCAAACACAAAGTTAGAACAAACATGTAGCAGACATAAAGTCAGCTACCTCACATATAGTTCACATAGCACATATCAATCGCACGTATCAAAAATCAAAATTTTCAAGCAACATGACATCCATTTAGAATCCACCAAGAACCACTTTCTTAGTTTAGAAACATAAGACCACATATTATTCACATGCAAGGACTTCATTTTATTTTCCACAATATTCATCCATTGCAAAGAATTGTCATGTTTAGAAACATATAGAGCCCTATCTCTTCTAGATCTATCTCTAGCCCAATGATAGTCATGCAAATCACAAAGATCAGATTTAGGTAA